TGTTAGGATTTGTTTGGAATTAAGCACAAAGCTACACAATGGGATATCTGTGCTCTGCCCAACACGGATATCGAAACCCGGTTTTAAGCGTTGTAAGTCCGCAGACATGCCGCTGTGCCACTGGGGGGGGGGGATTTGTTAAGACCAAATTTTGGATCAGTTTGGGCCAATGTTTATATTTATCAACGTTATATTTTAATATCTGTGCAAGAACTCAGTTAACAGATGTTTCCGCATATAAAAGCTATCTTCAAACACAAATAAATTTTGGCAGAGTAGGAGTCTTATTTTATTTTTCTAACAAGGTTGTTGGTCTTTGGAACTGGTTGCCTTCGGATGTTATGGAGGTAGTAAATTTAAGTGAGTTTAATTCAAGGGAAAACTTGATAACTATATGAATGATAAGGGATGGCTTTGAGGTTTTATTTTATTTTGGTTTAGCTTAGAGGATAGGACAGCCTGGATGGACCAATAGGTCCTTTGTTGTCTCTAAACATTATGTTATGTTATAAAGATAACATCGCCCTCCCCAAACAAACGGTAAAGGAGTCTGTATCGAGATCGGGAGTGTCTACAGAAATTCATTCTTAAAATGAATGAATATTCGTCTTCCGTAAACATGCAAGATATTGATAATTAAGATAAATTGAACAACAGACCTTCATCTTTTCGTGGGTAAATATGATAAAACTGTATGGTGTACAATCAGCCATGTAACTGAAAGAAGAAGAAAAAAAGACCCACCATCTTACTGATAAACTCATGATTTGAAGGTAACTGAATCTGTCATTGGAATTCCTCTACTGTCATTGTAGAATTGTCGAGTCAACGGAAGAATGGACTTGAAGAATATCCACGGAACTAGTCATGAAACAAAGCGAGTAATGATAACATGAAGAGATAACACGATGTCAAAGCTAACAAATCGCATACCCCACCATAGCTGATTCAATACCAGGAGTATATTTACAGCGCTATGTGGGATCAGCAATGTGGTTTAACACGTACCTAATAGAGATGTCAACCACGTGCTCTTCATCGTACTCAGTTATATAACTTCTAGGTCGATAATAAACAAACAAACAAAAACTGATTATCTGTATTACTGATTAATCAAATAATCAACAAGGGAACAATAATTCATTCTAGATATGACCACAAACTGAATAAAATTCTAATATATCTAAGTTCTTATTTCTTAACAGGCAGAGTTATGTGTCAATGTCGAAAAACTGAAGGATTGTCTCATACATAATATTATGTGCATAGATAGTTGCAGAGGTGTGACAAGTAAATGTTTCTGTTTTTCTAATTTTGATATTCTTCAAATTAGGGTTTTAAAATTAATTTGGAAAATGATCTTAGTTGTAACTCAAAAAATGGTAAGTTTTATAAAAAGGAAATTATATTTTTAAAATAGATTTTTAAGCACTACATAGCGTATTTTTATTTTAGCTTAAGTTCATTGGTCTACTTACAGAAAACGTAACTAATTCAAACATTTCATGTTTAATGTCATTTTTTTCATCTGCCGTAAAAATGTGAAACATTCAGTATGAATAATATATTTTACTTTACGATGAGCCCCCCACCCCCCGATAGGTCAGCCGTAAGTTTATGGAGGTACAAAGTCTACAATCAAAAGTTCGATTTCAAATATGGACAGAGCGCAGACTGCCCAATGTGTAGCTTTGCACTTAAATAACAATAAATTTGCAATGAAAAACATTTTAATATTACAAAATAGTTGGACGATTTAACTTTTCATAGGGTCTTTTGAGCAGAAATGTGAGAAAAATTCCCCATCTGTCTGGGTTGAATTAAATGTGAACATTCTGTAGATAAACTATAATTACGACATTTCAAAGATTCCACCAATGGAATGTGTTATAAGTAAGATTTTTCTTATTTTATTAATTTAGTAATTATTAACTTACAAAATTCCAAACTACTGTATTTCTGATGTTTTAAGTAGATGTATACGCATGAGCAGATATTCAAATTTCCCTA